GAGGAGGATCAAATGACGGTGTGTTCGAGCGCGGAATCGACAATGAGCTGTTCAAAACAAATCCAATTGTGAATTTTTATTCACAGGATGCGAGGTAGAAGAATCTCGTTGAAAATTTGACATTCGATCGGAATTTATGCACACCAACTGTTCGGGATTCTGTTTTTGAGTAACTAAGGAGTAACGAATGAGCAAAACTTCACGAGTTAATGACATTTTCCAGACTGTTTCTCGATGAAGTTAAACAATGCGTCTTCTCATACTATCATTGGCTTGTGCTGTTGCTACTGTTTTCGAACGGTATTCGCATGTCGTCACCAGTATTCCTCTCGATTGGTCACATAATTTTTGCGTTTCTCAATTTCTGGCGTGGCACCGATTTGTATCTATCGTCGCTATATGTATTTCGTCGAAAATGGCGTGTTATCACACTTTATCTTCTCGGTACTCTCTTGCTGCAAATTTCGGCAAATGTAAGTCTTCATTCAGAGTCCTGTCCATCCGAAATGATTATCTTGAAGTGCTATTCAATTTTATCATTAATTTGAGTGAAAGTATTAGATTGTGAAGAATACTCAGTAAAAGCTATACTAAAACAAGAGACCATGATCCGAGGTTAACTTCTACCGTTTGAAAAAAAAAACAACTGCATTTTAGAAAAGAGATGGAGAAACAGCGGTTTATGGACTCAATGAGAAGTAAACCAAAGGAAGTAAACCAAAAATATTTTCTGCAGCATGATCAACAATTCATTTTGAATTTTCTTTTTGAAAGCACTTCGTAATCACATGCTATTGACATGCTTCCGAGATGTTGTTTATGCTCAGATAGCGCGAGCGATATTGGATGAAATGGTCATATCGAAAAGCAACAATCAACGAATTATTGCGATATGTCGTTTGCTCAATGTTTATTTCAAAAAACCTGGTGAAGGCGTTGTGGATCCTATTGGTAGGACGTTCTCATTAATAAATTTCAAATTTTGGGAGATAACTCGACAATATCGTTGCTCTACTACAGATTATTTGCTGAAGAATGATCGCAGTAAAGTGATTCATTTCGAAAAAAAAAATCTCAAAGTGTTTGTTGAGGGCACTTACGAATCGCTTATTAAAATAAGCGTTTCGTTTTTATAATAGCTCCGATCGTGATTTGCTATGAAAGGGTGAATTGCCTCTTGCTGAAATGCATCGCAATGTTGTTTTCGTTTAGGTCCATATGAAACCATCGATGTAAGACCGTATTCGTTCGATGTTATCATATTCGCGGCTCTTCTGCTCCATTTGAGAATGATTGTCACATGGTAGGTTCCAGTTTGAATTGCTATCAACACTTACCACTTTTATTGACGCTTTATTTCATCAATTGCGGGTTTGAATGCGAAATTTTCAACGTTTCATTGTCATCTGTTTCCAATTTCGGAAGAATGCTTAAAGCATCATCCATATTTCGTTATCGATCACAACTCTTAAGAAAAGATAAACTCGATTTATTGCAGGCATTTTCAACATACTGTAACCGATTTTCGGGCAGATCGTATTATCTGCTACAGGTGAGTTGGTTTTGACTGAAAAGAGCATTCGATGTGTTTTGAAAGAAAGATACCGTTATGAACAAACCAACGAGAGGCCATATTATTACAGAGGTCAAATTCTTCACGATCAGCTTCTGTTCAAAGCAATGTCATTCGCACAACAAAAGGATCGAGTGCGAGTGGGTGAAATGAAACGCAGAACTGCGATAGCTGGCAAGATGGAACTGCCGTTCGGCAGATTTCAAGTTCAGTGTAAGTTTGAAAATCGTTTGAAGATCAAAAACTGATCAAATAACGATGGAGTTACGAGTTGCGAAACGTATTTCACTGTGTATCATATCTACAAAACACCCAAAGA